ATAACTCAAATACATTGTAAGTTGGGGAGTACCAATATTCCCTTTCTTTTTTTAGAGCTAACTGGTCCATGGAGATGTGCTAATAAATGCATTAGTTTCTCTAAAAAGAGAGACAAGGAGACCTGTGTGATAGGAAGTGATAGGAATATTCTGCTGTAGGACAGAGATAAAGTATTAGCTTCAATCAGATTGCCATCAGAGCTCCCAGATAAAAGATAAGATGCTTGAAATCAAGGTCTCTGGGGAATGTTGAGTCAATGTAAACTAGTAGGGAAGACTGCAAAGAAGAGGGACACTTAGGAAGATGGCAAGAGAGAAAAAAGAACAGCACTTGGAGGAGGATGTTCATAAAGAAAAATTACATATCTAGTTGGTAATGATTTAAGACTTTTGAAGTATTTGTTACAATAATGCAGAACTATGAGAGGTCAGGAGGTGGCACAAATGGTTAAACTTACAGCTACTAATCTAAAGGTTGGAAGTTCAAGTCCAACCAGAGGCACCTTGGAAGAAAGTCCTGGAGGTCTACTTCCAAAAATCAGCCATTGACAACCCTATGGAAAGAAATTCTATTCTTTGACACATGGGGTCACCATGAGTCAGAATCACCTGCATGACAACTGGTTTAGTGTTTTAGTAAGAGAGGTATAGAAAAATTAAATAGTCAAAAGTAGAAGATGAAAAAGTTATAATAACAATGAATAAAATTAAATTATAAAAAATTAATTTACCTGAGAGAAAGGAACCTATGATTTGAATCAAATAAGAAAGCAGAGTCATTCAAAGAAAGGTACTAGAAGAGACTTCCAGGTCTGCAATATCGTTCAACTGGCTGCTGTAACAGGCAGGCCAGATTCTGGGCTAGCCTTTCATTTCCCTTATATGCATGACCATTCTTCTTTTTGGTGTGGAATTTAAATGAAGGTGTCAAACCCTACTTTGCAAAGGAAAAATGAGAGGACTGGACCATTATTTGTATGATATGGAGTGGAGAAATAATAGTGAAGTAAATGTCAAAACCCACTTTGTTTTACCATATAAAGAGACTTAATGGAACACTTCAGAGGTAGCTTATTCACCTCTGTCCCTTCAGCTTTTGCATAGCACATAAGTGATAATAGAACATTTTTAATTAAAATATGAACTTTAGGATCACCTTATTGGTTTTTCATAAAACCAGCTAAGATCTAAAAAGGGATTGCTTTGAATCTGTAAATCAGGTTGGAAGGTTTGCTATCTTAACAACATTAAGTCTTCCAACTCAAGTATACAGGATAACTTTCCATTAATTTAGATCTTCTTTGATTTCTTTCAAAATTGTTTTGTGGTTTTCAGTATACATGTGTTATACTCCTTTTATTAAATTTATTCCTAAGTATTTTATTGCTATTGTAATTAGAATTTTTCTTAAATTTATTTTCACATTATTGGTTGCTAATATATGGAAATATAATTGATTTTTGTATATTGATCTTGTATACTGCAACCTTCCTATGCTAATTTATTAGTTCTAATAGGTTGTTTGTGCCTTGCATGGCACATCACCCTGCAAGGTAAAAAGTGAGATATACAGAAAATAAAAATACAACTCCTGTCCTGAAAGAACGATGTGAATCCAAGTGGCCTTCGTAAGAAGCTTTGCCCAGGACTATGTGAGTGAAAATTTCCAAAATACTGACCTTAGACTTTATATAATTTTAAGGATAGGAAATAACTAAAACAAAATGTTGTTGTTTGCCGTCGAGTCGGCCCCGACTCATAGCGACCCCTCCTTGGGTTTCCGAGGCAGTATCACTACGGAAGTAGGATTGCCCAACCT